GGGGGGGGGGGGGGGGGGGACAGGACAAACATTGCAAAAAGAGGTGTAAAGACTGAGAGATTCATTATTAGACTGCTTAGAGAGAAGTGATGAAGATGCACAAAGTGACAAATCTACAGCTGGACAAAGAAGAGAAAGAAGACGCGCATGGAAAAAAACAAAAGTTACATTCCATTGCATCAGAAAAGTCCTCAGAATAAGATTATCAAGATAGCTGCCTCAAAAAAATTTGAATCTTCCCTATCCAGTAATAAACATGTGAAAGCCAGAGTACTAGCACTCGACAGATTCACAGAGGAAAAACACTGATACACAGCGACAAACTCACCACCTTTAGTGCACAGAGAACTTGGATCACATGCTTTGTTCTCATTTCACATGCTCAGTCGTCAAAACATAGTTAGTCAGCTGGTGTGCAACGGTCTCAGGCAGATGCGACTTTCTCAATGGCGGAGTTGTTAGCATTAGCCTTAGGGTCAAAACTAGATCCTTACGATATAAGTGGAAGTAAATGAATATGCACAGCTCACTGGGGACCATTAGTGACACTGGTTATACTGTTAAAGTTGGAGGGGGGAGGGGGATGCTCTGACTTCAGGCTGATGAAGTTGGTTTGAACATTACATTAACAAAATATTTGTGTTGGGTTCAGGCTGAACTGAGGTTACAGTTAGACAAGCGGTGTTAAAAAGGGGAGTGTGCACTTACCTGCTGGACATCAACAGCAAAACCCTACACTGAACTTTAAGGACAGATTGCATACTTTAGCACAGGACCAGTGACAGTAAATAGCTTTCAAAACAACACAAATGACTAATCCCTATTGCGTGGGCTAAGTAAGTAAACAAACAGGTGGGCTGAGAGCAGTGCAAATTATTGTTGGCTACTGCTCCATCCCAAGGCAACGTGTCAGTTTTATCTTGATGTTATGCAACTATTGACTGGAGTGCTTCTTTGAAAAAAAAAAGAAAAAAACAAACAAACAAAAAAACAACTAATTTAATCCCTTCTCAGTCAGTGGTGCAAAAAAAAAACAAGCCATGGGAACACAAAGTCTCAGGCGGGATAATCAATAAGGGCCAGAGCACAAAAAGCTGCAGGCACATACATTCAATAACATGCTGCATCCACACTACAGCAAAAAAACTAGGGCTTCAAATATCTCAGTCACATACATAGAGTTGAAATGGTTTTATATCACTCCAAAACCACAAAAGTTTTCCTTTTTGAGACAATGCCAACAGCTCTGTTAGACAAACACAAGCCCCAGTAGACCATATTAAAAGTTATAATCCTTAAGATTTTTATAGGATCAAACCCATTTTTTGATTCATTTAATTATCTTCATGATTAGATAGAAGACAGTAGTTATAGATAGTATTTGTGTGATTCTTATCGTGAAGCAGTCAAAGAAAATGAAATGTTGGTTACTGAGGTTTTCCCTGACAACGATTGTTCACAAGAAACAAACATTTTTTACACGACCATTTTTTGACAGCAGAATAGTTTTTAATACTGCAATGTAATGTTGATGATCAAGACGCAGCGGCCACAGTGAGCCGTTAGCTCTGCAGGCGACACACCTCCAACTCCTCAGCAAGCTAACAAACTCTTTTAAGTTGATGCAAGTTTGTTTGGCTGCACTGTAAAAAAAAAAAAAACACATTCCCCACTTCCTGTTCTGCCGTTACCAGAGTAACTGTGGGTGTCACCAAATCAACCACGAACTAAAATCTTAAGGATCATAACTTCAAGGTATCAGGAAATGTTTGCACCCGATTTAGTGAACCTACCTGATGCTCCAGGTCTTGGCAGCGCTGGCTCAGGTCCTCCTTCTCGTCTGCCTCCTCACTCAGGAAATAATACTTCCTGGACTGCAAACACAGAACGTGGGTACAGAGGAGATGTCATACAAGTCACAGCAGGAGGGAGCACATTAGTGAAACATTAGTGAAAGGGTGAGGGAGAACATAAAAGAAAGATCTAACAGATCAGCTTAGTGGAGGGCAAGTACACAGAGGGGACTGAGTTGTGTTGTGGGTTTCACCTGGTAGTCGAAGTCCCCGTAGGTTTCTGGGCTTCCTGGTTCAGATGAAGGTTCTTTTGATAAGAGCTAAGACAAAGCAGCAAAAAAAACAAGATATTTTCCAAAAATTTCCAAATTTTCTGGACAACTTTGTTTGATAAAACCTGGCATACATTTTTTCCCCCCATGTTCAATGTTTTTTCCAGTCCCATGAGTGTCAATGGAAGGCTAAACATATTCTTGAAATATCACAGAGTTGGCTTTCTGGGACGCCGTTCAGTCTTATGCTTATCCGGATTTCTCTGATTGTGAATTCACCATGACTAAGAGCTGGGATTATTGCAAAGTAGGGAGAACCACGGATAAGGATAAGCAAGAGGTTCACTCACCTCCTGAATAGCTGTCATCACAACGTGCTGGACAGATTCCTCAAGTGTCATTATTTGCTGGATTTGTTCTGTGTTTAGGAGAAGACAACAACGGAAAGTAGTGACAGTGCAGCCAAATACAGATTAACACAAATAATCTCCTGAAACCAAACCAGAACTGCATCTATTTTCAGAAAACCTGTGCTCATCAAGCTAGTGTTTCACTAGCTACGTTTTTGGTGTGGGGGAAACAGCGTGTGGTCAGTCTAAAAACTTGTGATGCACAGGCCAGGACTGTAATTTAACAAGAATCATGTGAGCTGACTTGGAGTAAATCCCATGTTATTTTCACAGATGGCTGCATCTGCCTGGTTTTCTTTCTTTTACACGAGAGAGCGTACCTTGTTTTTTCTCACAACTGACAGCACAGCCCAGTACAAGCTGTACCAGCTTGCCCAGCTCAGTGACATCTCCCATCTCTCCTATAAGGTTAACATCTGGCAAGTGGTCATCTGACACCTGATGTCCAAGCACCTGTTCACAGAGAGTAAAATGAGACAGCACTGAGTGTGAGATTCGGGAAATAGGGGAGAAAATCTAGCAAAAGAAATACCAGAAATTCACACACAAATACAAATTTAAAAAAGTAAAATGATAAAGGAAATCTTCTTACATCATGATAATATTCCAGCATGCTCTTAAGGATCTTTTTCAAGTTGCTGACCTGAAAGAACAAAATAAGAGTTAAAATCTAGATCCTCATTTTCATCAGGGAAAAAGAAGTAAAAAAACAAAAAAAAAAAACAAGACGTCTGATTATTCTCGATTGCTGGAGGGCATTGTGTCATATCCTCCTATTTCACAAATTACCTTGAGGCGCCAGTTGGCCCCGCTCTCCTCCTTGATCCTGCCTAGCCATGTCTCATTAAACCAAGAGGGGTCTCTGTCAATGAGAGCACAAGAGAACTCTAGTGACAGGGACGACACATCTCTGGACATCAAGATTCAGAGGAGGCCACAGGGCAATATGGCCGTGTGCGTCTGCTCTGCTATGTACAATGACATTTGAGTAGAACAGTTCATTAAAGTCACATGTCACAGATGGTAATAATGCTCAAGAAGCAGTTAAAGTGACCTTAAAATAAGAGAACATTTTGCAAGATTCAAGTAGGAGTATGGGTATAAGGAAAACAAACAGTCCATGACGAGCTATAAAAGGTCATTACGCCTGGACAGACTGGTTTACTCAAAAATTGGACCTACACTTGAGGGCTACAGCAGGGCAAATACACTCTGAGAAAAAAAAAAAAAAGAACCTGACAAATCTAGCCTCTATTCATAACATTGACATTTGCATAGATAATAGCCTTGTGCAATTTAAAAAAGGCAATTTAGTGTGAATCACAGAGATAAGCAAATCTAAGTAGAACCTGCTTGAATTTCAATCAACCGTTTCCTCTGAGTTCATGTTGTACACTTAAATAATGAAAACAACACAATAACTGTAAATACTTCAACATATGTGTGTGTGCCCTTACATTCTGTGCAGCACGTGTCCAATGGCCACTCCACTTGTTAGGTCGGACTTGCTGTTGCATGATGGAACCTGAAATGTCTGTAACTGAAAATGAAGATGTTAAGAGTCAGTCATCAAATAAATAATCTCTGATAAATGTATATTTTTTATTAACTGTTAAATTAGTCTGAACGAGACTCACAAATGTTTTACTCATTATCCACGTTATATGCTTTATATACCACTCTGCATACCAGATGTGTGCGTGGAATAATAATGTGTGTGACTTGGTACCAGGAGTAAATCACATTATAATGGCCTGAATATCACAAAACAACTGTCAAATAATGCAGGTAAAAAACAGGGATTTTGCCTAAACCCATTCAATCTTCCTAAATACTACTTAAATGCATGAAACTAAGCAGTCATATGGGATTTAGCAAGCTATTCATCTTAGTAGGTGTCTTAGTTAAATCCTATACTTGTCTCTGCGTGGACAAGTGCCAAACAGGTGGATTTCCCCTGAGCTTGAGTAGTAACTATTTTGGATAGCCTAACATTACTGCATGAGACTTCTAGCTTACACTAAGCTATTTGGGTTGTTTTTTTTCTGGCAGTCAACTTTGCTGACCCTGCAAGACAGTTGGACAACACAGATAACAAGCTAACAGACCACAAAGGGCAAACTTCCAAGCTGTGTGTGCCTAGCTAGTTAGCCTGACTAGCTAGCGTTAGTTAGCTTAAAAAAAAAACACACACACACAACTTTCATACCTGCCAACAACAAATGCGTCAATTTACTCAGTCAGTAATGTAGCTTAAAGTAGTGTGTGAGGACTTAACTTACAAAAGTGGTGTTATTTTTCTCCTTACTTTGCCACCACCTGCTGTCAGCTGTTAGCCGGCTGTTAGCCTCGCTACTAAACCTCGCTACTAATCAAACTTACCCAGGTTAACAGTGAGTCACACAGCTCCGCTTTATCCAGACTCATCCTGCTGCGCCCGGCGAAACCCCACAGGAGCTCGGAAAGAAGCAACGGGTTTTAGCTCTCAAGACTTTGTTTCTCCCCCCGAAGTTTGTTACTCAGTCCACCTGACACCTTCCACGTCAGTCATTACCAGCCATGGCCTCCTCCTCCTCCTGCTGCTGCTGCTCCTGCTGCTGCTGCTGCTGCTCCTGATCGCTTCGCGTTTCGGCTCCTGTTATCCAAGCGAGCTCCCGTATTAAGAGCGTTCCCATGGAAACGGATTATGGCTACGGGTCAGCTTGTCTGGTCATGGCTAAAATAATAATAATAATGACGATGACAATAACAACCCGGTGTCTTGTTAAGCTCTCGTAATGGGGAACTACAAATTATTATTATTGTTACTAAATCAAGATGAGACAACTTTTTAATTTGTTTTTTTTATATATATTTGATCAAACCTTCATGTACACTTAGCCGGGAAAACCTCATTGAGATGATTAATCTCTTTGTACAGACTGTCCTGGCGAATATAAGCAACATTAATACTATGGAGACAAATAACAACAAAACACAAAAACTCCACAATAACAGAATTAAACAGGAGTGTCTTTATAAAAAGATTTTTTTTTTAAAAGAGAAAACTTTAAAAATACAAGACCAAGATTAAGAACAATTTAACTTAGTGATACTATGTAGGTTATATATGTGTATTCATGTACATATATGTTTGTTTATGTAGTTTTTTGTTTGTTTGTTTGTTTGTTTGTTTTTTAACCTTTGACAGAACTAAGTGAAACAAAACAAACAGGAAACACTTGAAAATCCAAACATTTAAAGGGACGAATGTGTTCTGTTTATTTTATTTTTTAATAAATAACAGTGACTTTATACCAATAAAGTCCTGCCACCATTGTGGCCCGAGAATATAGGCTACAAAAATCCCTTAATCCTAGATACAATGAATGGAATATGTTACAAGCATTAGTCACCTCTTTCCATGAAACAACAGCACTTATAGGCTGTTACTCAGTTTTTGTTTCATTTCAAGGAACACAATCCCAACAATGAATTGTGGCCGACTTCTCTTTCGAAGGCCTCATTGTTTCCTAAACTTCCTTAAAGCACCACTGGATGGCTCTAGTTGACAAATAGCTATAGAAAACAACCTCAACTGGCAGCCCAGGACCTTACACTACCTCCTGTACTGCAGGTGTTTTGAAAAATGTTTATAGTAAGACATGTTCTCCTCTAAGTCGGTGGAATGTGGATTTTAAAATAGAAGGAATCGCTCACTTTGCATTTTTATTCAATAATAATATATCACACCTTTTGTAAATGTACACAAATGTTCCACAGTGGTTGTTTTTTATTTTTATTTTTTGCAGTAGGGACTTCAGTGTTATCAAAAGGCCTCCAGAGTGTCAATATCCTGACTGGTTCACACTGGTTTGTGATTTACAGCTGTAAAAAGAAAAACAAAAAACAACTTTTACTAGGTTTCTGTCAGAAGCCTCTCTCACATTTTTAACATGCTGTCACTCACGTACTCCCTTGCCTTGGTAATCTGTGTATTTCCCTGTCCACACATCTCCTTCCTGCGTTCTTTGTCACCGTCACAAATCAAACTTCAGCGTCCAATCACCGTCAAACGCTGCCCACTGCTTCCTGTTTACTCTGGCAAAGTCCACTGAGCTTGTTGAACACCTGCATATCATGAAATATTTGCCATATTTCCGTTCCTCCCCATCCACAAACCAGTCCGGTCACATCACCGGCGTACATCTGGCTTTACCATATTTGTCTGGCGGGAGTTCCTGTTTTTCTAGATGGTTTTCAAGCCAGAGGAATGCACATGTTTACCCATTCCCCTCGACTGGCTCGCACCTTATTGTAAATCATACCACGATTACACTGACATGTTATCTCTCAGTTGATTATAGTTAAACTTTTATTATATACTTTTATCATTTAGTTTTGCCCTGTTTGTACGTGGTACATCTCATTCTCTGTCTCCCACACTCGAGCAGTTGTGTATGTGTTTACTTCAGAAGAGAAAAAGCTTGATGGAGGTGGGGGGGGGGGTCTCAAATTGAGTAAACCTCCAGACTAGATTAAAACACCTGGGAGGAAGTGAGGTTCATGAGATGGGGGGTTCAGCAGAGAAGTTAGTCACCCTCTGAGGGATGGGTCAGGGCTGACTAATGCCTGAGTGGCAGGAGGTGTGGCGTTCGGGACTCTGGCCAGGCAAGGCTCGAGCGGAGGCTGACTATTTTTGGCCAGCTCCTCTTCCTCCACTCTAATTCCTCTTTTCACCCGTTCTCTCTTTCCTTATTCCCCAGATGTGTTTCCTTCCTGAAAGTCAAAAGGCTTTACTTCTCCTCTTTTCCAACCTCACACTGACGCACTCGCATCCCTCTGGGGGGAACTGGAAGGGTGGAGGTGGGAGGGCCAGAAGCTAAGATTGAGTAATTATTCCTTTTTTTGAAGCTTGTGGTTTTCTTGTTTGGAAAAAAAAAAGACAAAAAAAAACGGGGATGGTTCCCTTTTTGAAAATTCTTCAAGACAAACGAACAAACTATCTGCGTTCTTCACAAAACAAGGCTGCATAGCTGTGTGAAAATCTTCTGAAAAGTACAGCTGTTTTGCATTTTTACTTGTATTTATTAAAGCCCCCCCCCCTCCACCCAAAGATTTGCTCTTCTCATTGTTTCTTCACTTGGGTGTTTGACCTCCACTGTGCAGAAAAATATGTGCAGTAAAAGGACGTTTTCACATTCATCTGCTGAGGGTGAAACGCTTCTCTCTCCTCAACCTTCAATTGAGTTTAAGTAGTTGTGACTTCACAGCTGGTTTGGCAAATATTCAAGTCGAACAAATGTGATACGATATTTAACAGAAAAATCAACCAAACCTGTTCTAACTTTGGCAGAAGATTCATATTCAGAGGAGGAGATAAAAAAAGCTAATTGACAACATATCATACACAAGCTGTTATTGCAAACAAACAGATCTGGAAGGGGCCTTTAAGTCTCCTCACTTTACGACCTCATTTTCAGGTCATAGTTCAGCCGTGAAAGTCGGCAACAAATGATGAAAACCCAATCCTTAAACAGTTCCCCACGTGGCGTTATTTGAATGAACGGTGTGGTTCGGAGAGACAAAGAAAAGCTGCACCTTTAAATTTAAGAATGCCAGTGATGTGCGGCTGTGCCCAGGCATTCAGAGCGGGAATGTGCTGGAATGCTGGCAGCGGCTTGTTTCCCCTACAGCTTTCCCAGGTGTTACAGGGAAAGGAAAACAACAGAGCCACGGAGCAGCAGAAGGACAGGCTGTGTGAATAAAAGAAAGGGCGTGGGGCTGCAGGTGAAAGGCACCCAGGAGTCTGATCAGAAAGCTCCTTTTCTAGACATGAGGTCACCCATTGAGATACATATAGGTGCTGCCAAGACATGTAAACCAGAGGAGGGGATTAAAAAAAACAAAACAGAGGTTTATGGCCCTCTCTGTCTTATCACCTGTCTCCTCCCTTACTCTGGAATCACAGATTTATGTCTTTGGTAAGGACAGGTAGTCAATAATAAACTCACCTCTGGCACCTGACAGGGAGTGGTCATTCTGAAATACATAAACAGGTTGTTGACACAGAGAGAGAGAGAGAGAGAGAGGGAGAGAGGGAGACAGTCTGCCTTTAAAAGAACAGTTCTTATATCTCAGTTAAATTGAAGTGTATGCGGCACGTGTCAAGCACATTTCTTCAACACGAGAGAATATTCAGCCACTTCGTTCAGCTCTCCTCTGGTGACTCAGTGGCTGTTGTGTCTGTGCCACTTAAAGACAGCAAAGTTTTTACTCATGTTGTGTAACAGGCACTAAACGACCCTCATACTTATTGATCTAAATGTTAACATGACTCATGGCAACAGCAGCAACTGCATCTCTGTTCTTCTCAGACTCGATCCACTGTAACATCAAACCAGAGGCCGAGGTGGAGGTGGAGGAAGAGGAGGAGGAAGAGGAGGATGAAGGGATCAGCTGTGACGCGGAAGCAGACTCCCTCCATCATTGTCGTGGTATCGGTCAAACAGGTGCGCTCTGCTTGCTTTAACTCTCACTGCACAATTAAGTTTACTCCTTCTTTGTGTTTCTGATAGGTCCGTCTCTACATCTCTGCCTGCTTCTCTCTGTCTTGTTTTCTGTTGCGACGCCTCACCCTCTCTCTCACGCGCACACACACACACGCACACACACACACACACACACACACACACACACACACACACAAACAGGCAGCACATGGCCAGCGCAAGTGAGTCACAGTGGACTGGTAACAAGTGCCTCTTCTCAGGGAGAGTCCCTCCATGTGTCCTTGTGATTAAGACCAATCCCCCTCAGTGTATCAGGTGCCTTACTTCGCTGGGCAACGTGAGACATGGCTCCATTGTCTCCGAGAGAACGATGGGCTACGTACTCCCCTCAGATATTAACTTGAGCTCGGAAACCAACAGACAGTGATAGTGGGCTATTCGTTGCTTTTTTGGTAGTTTTGACACAGATTTGACATAACACTTGTGCATCTAAAAATAGAAATATTGAGGCGTATTCCATGAGACACTGGGGCTCTGGAGGATGCAGCTCCTTGGATAGCTAGCTGACTGGGCTCATGGACAGTAGGGTGTGCAGAGAAGGGCGACTTGCCCAGAAGCGACTGCAGCTGCCTGCTGCACACAATATGATTACAGGATGGGGAGCTAGAAGGACGGTTATAAAGAAATACATTTTTATTGTCTTTACTTGTTTAAAAGGTGGATTCTACACAAATTACACACAAAAAAAGTAATTTTAAGAGACATTTTATACATGAAACACAGTATATTGACATTTTACAACAAAACAAAGCAAACAGCAATGCTAGCAGTTCTGTGTGGCTGTACTCTGAGCTAAATGCTAACGCTAGCATGCTAACACGGTCTCAGTGACAACGCTAGCATGCTAATGTTCAGCGGGTGTAATGCTCAACTTTTTAACAGCCTCAATTTAGCATATTAGCATGCTTACTTTTGCTAATTAGCACTAAACACGAAGTCGTGAGGCTGGTGGGAATGTCATTAGTTTTTCAAGATATTTGCTCATAAAGCAAGTTTTGTCGTAACAGGAGCAAATCGTACAGGGGTCAC